ATAACTTTTAATATCTTACACACCTCACATCTTCTTACACACAGACAAAGACCCGCGCACACGCGCGGTCGCGCGTGCGGGTCCTCGCGACCAGCACCAGACCCAACCATACTGCCCGCACATGTACCCGTTCTCAGAGACTACGTCCTACCCCAATTTCACACTGACTCTCGAAACTGCCTAACCTAACCACGTCCTGCCATTCTCCCTAATACATCAATGTAGCCGCCAGGGGCGGATACAGGATTTCTGTAAGGGGGGGTGCAATAAATAAAAAGGGCAACTGTTATGGATGGAGCGTGTGGTGAAGGCGCACGCGGCGAGCGCCGAAGGCCGGAAGCGGACAGCGGGGGGGGGTATGGGGGCACTCCCCCAGAATTTTTTTTAAATTTAGACCCCGGAAATGGCATTTCCTGCATTGTCAGGTGATTTTTAAAGGATCTAAATACCATAAGTTTCAATGAGAAATATTTATTTGAAATTACATCATTTATAATCGCTTCACTGACCAATAATAATACATTATAACTAATTTTTAGTATGATGATTTTTTTAAACATTTTACTAAGTTTAAAATGTAGTGTAGTGTGACCAGTTTATGTTAAATGTTATAAGGTTATTCAACAATACTAGACTTAAAACGTAGACCTTTTCAAAACAGTCTCGTTTTTGAATAGTGACTATTCAAAAATGAGGCTGTTTTGAAAAAGTCTACGTTTGTGCTTTCTAACGAATTCATTGCATACATCAGCTACTGATATTGCCAAGCTGTGGTGTATATTCATGAGAGCTAATGAGGCCAACCGTTCTTGACACATGTTGCTGCGGAGGTATGTTTTCAAACGTCGAATGCAAGAAAAAGACCGCTCTGCTTCAGCACTACCTACTGGCAATGTACACCCAACATGCAAAAGAACTTTAATGTTTGGAAATTCATCATTGTCAGCTACACTATAACACTGAATAAAATTCTTTGGAATGGAGTCTACTGGCTTCACCCTCCAGGTATTGGCCCACTCCTTGAGTTCATTCTTGAGGGCTGTTGGATTCGGCAGATCATCCTCCCAGTAAGATAATTTCTCACATAATGCATCAAAGTCTGTACATTTGACGATGGAGCATGGCATCAGGTGAAATATGTCCCCACCTGCCCTGTTCTCTTGGCGGAAACGAGAGTCCAGCTCATGGGTCAAGTGATCTAAGAATGGAATCGCCACATTCTTCTTGTAGTACTCCAATGGGGTGGTGGCATTCGCATTCGCACGGTGGACCTGTTGTCCTACTAGGCGCGGCATTTGAACCTGGCTACCAATGTTTTCTGCCATCTTTGTTGCATCACTGAACCAATCAATAAATTCTATATCTATATTTGTTCTGAAATCTGAGATTTTCTTCTTTTTTGCGTCGATTTTGCTATAGGCATCAATAACATCAAGTCCATTCTCTTGCAACTTCTGAGCAAGAGACTTTAGACAGTGAAGTGAATTCTTGGTTGTATAGAATGTAACAATGAACTTGAACGAAGTCAGAGTTGAAAGCAGGCCTTGTGCTGAGACTCTGGTGTCACGATGCCAGTTCCATGGCTGGTCATTTTCTGCTGGATTGAGCATTCTCTCAAGGCATTGGCATAATGATGGGTAAAGTTCTTCAAACGTTTCATAGCATGTGTGTCTTTCAACCCATCGTGTCTTACATAGTCCTTTTAGCTTTTTTACCGATGGACTATCTTCCTTCTCATCCAGAATTTCTTCCAAATATCTCTGCCTTTTAGGTGAGTAATCAAAGAACTTGAAGATCTCATTGACACTATCAATCATGTTTCTGATTGCTGGTACTTTGCATGCTGCTGCTATGGATAAGTTCAGTACGTGGCAATTACAGTGTGTGTATACTGCACGGGGAGCTAGTTCTTTAATGCGTCCTTGAACGCCAACTCTGGCTGATGACATGCAGGAGGCACCATCGTAACTCTGACCACGAGCTTTTCTGATATCTATACCTCTTCGAAAGAGGCAGTCAACAATAGCATTGCTGATCGACTCACCAGTTGTTCTGTCCAAGTAAATAAAGTCAAAAAACACTTCCTTTACTCCAGGTGGGGTCTTTATTGTGTCAAGGAAGCGCAAACAGACAGCTAGAACTTCCTGGTTTCCATGAGAATCCGTGACTTCATCACCCATGATCGTAAAGAAGGAATCATCAGCTTGCAAGCATTCAGTCAAACGTCTACGAATATTGTCACCAATAATCTCTATGATTTCGTTCTGAATAGTTTTAGATGTATATCGAGAATTCCGTTTGCCATTCTCTAAGTGATCCCGCAAAACTAGGTCAGACGAAGCAATGTGATTTAGGATAGCCAAGAAGTTGCCTTTGTTACACGTGCCACTACACTTTTCCGTATTGTCATCCCGATGGCCACGTAAGGCTATATTTTGCTTTCCACACAGTAATACAACACCAACAATTGACTTCAGAATGTGCAGATTTTTATCATAAATCTGTTGATTCTCACATGACATTTGATATGGTATTGTCTGGGTTGGATTATTTAATGCATGTACTAACTCACATCCTGCACTTACTGCCTGTTTATGATAATCAAATGTACTATGTCTAACCAACAACCCATCTTTTCCCGTAGCTTTCTTAAGGTTTGTTAGGGGTGTTGACACAAGCACACCAGTACAGATTTTAGTGTTCTTTGGTGGGAAAAGTACACAGTATTTGCAGATACCTCCTCCTAGAACTGAACTGTACTCAAGCCATGCAAACAGCCGAAAAGCAGGAGAAATCAGAACGCCGGGGCAGCAGCCCCTAGATGCACCAAAGACTGGATCCCTGCACGGAGGCAGACGAGCACACTAAAGACAGGATCCCTGCACGGAGGCAGACGAGGAGCACTAAAGACAGGATCCCTGCACAGAGGCAGACGAGGCGCAGCAAAGACAGGATCCTTGCACGGAGCCAGACGAGGAGCACCGTAGAGAGTGACTAGCTCACCCCGGAGAAGAAAGAAGATAGAAGAGAGAAGAAAGAAGAAGGAAGAGAGAAGAAAGAAGAAGGAAGAGAAAAGAAAGAAGAAAGAAGAAAGAAGAAAAAAGAAGGAGAAAAGAAGATAGAAGACAGAGGAAAGAAGAAGGAAGAGAGAAGACGGAAGAAAGAAGAAGGAAGAAAGAAGATAGAAGAAAGAAGAAAGAAGAAGGAAGAAAGAAGACAGAAGAAAGAAGAAGGAAGAAAGAAGATAGAAACGAGAAGAAAGAAGAAGGAAGAAAGAAGATAGAAGAAAGAAGAAAGAAGAAGGAAGAAAGAAGATAGAAGACAGAAGAAAGAAGAAGGAAGAGAGAAGAGAGAAGAGAGAAGACAGAAGAAAGAAGAAGGAAGAGAGAAGATAGAAGAAGGAAGATAGAGAAAAGAAGAAAGAAGAAAGAAGAAAGAAGAAAGAAGAAAGAAGAAAGAAGAAAGAAGAANCCCGAGTGTGTGCGTGTATATATACCATAAATATATATTATGTATGTGTATTATGTACTACGTGCGCCCAAGTGTGTGCGTGTATATATACCATAGATATATGTATGTGTATTACGTACTACGTGCGCCCGAGTGTGTGCGTGTATATATACCATAGATATGTGTATTATGTACTACGTGCGCCCGAGTGTGTGCGTGCGTGTGTGCGCGCGCGTGTTTACGTGTATATATGTGTACATATATATGTGTGTGCGAACGCGTGTGTTTGTGGGCGTGCGCATGTAAGTGTACGTATATATGTATTCACTAGTAAGTTCTAAATGAGATATAACGCACCTTTATAGTCGTTAGTC